GTTATCATGGGTATATACTGAATGACTATTTTATATCAAAGAGGTTCAAGTCTGCAATCTTTTGAAGCTTTGAATATATGAGAGCCTTCGGTTAAAAGCCAAACCTCACTGTAAATCTGGGCACAGGTATCAAGAGAAACCCAATTTATTTCAATAAATATAGTCCCATGGAAATGATTAGAGAAATAGTCCAGTATTAATACAAATTCTTATAAAAATTAATAAAATCTATGAATAAGAATAGCTGTTTTGACACATCTCATAATGGGGAATAAGTGTCATCTCCAAGAAAATAGGGTTTACCAATGGATATAAAGTTACAGATTTAAAGATAACCACTAAAGGAACAACAATTATAAATATACCATAAATGTTATTAATTATTAGAAAGGATGCATAATCAGAATGATGTACAGAAAATGATACTATGGCATCAAATCCAGTTTCCAGAAATAGCAACAGGTGATAATACCAATATTTCTGCTCCAGCCTGTTCTACAGTCAAGATTTTGGCTGTGTTTCTAGGTGTAGACCCTCCCCCTTTCTGAGCTTGATCATGCAGTCTTCCTAGAAATACTGGATAGAATTTTAGGAAATCCGCTTCTTATATAAATTCACCAGAGTTTATTTCTGCTGCTTTCAATGAATAACTATCGCATTCAGAAACTGGTACTCAGAGTGATGGCACCCTTTGTGGACCCTCAAGGAAATGAGAGATTTGATTATGTAGGTTGGTTGGGGCTAAAGCAACAGAAATCTAGCTGGCATTAAGGAAAAAGGCTTGGGAATTCCTTGACATGCAGTGGCAGATAGGTGCTTTAATGACCATCTGTGTTTACCTTGGATGAAGTAAACATTGAAAACAAGGCTTTGGTTAGTTGAGTATCCACCCACAACCAAAGAGTACAAAGGACTGCTACCTCATGGGAGTGGCTGCTTCCAATGGGACTGGAGGCACAAATAGAAAGAGTAGCAAGTTCAAATTACTAAAATCTTTGCTCAAGACAAAAGCTGAAATCCAGTTATTCTATAAAAAGAAATCATTAGATTTTCCAGTTAAGATGGTTGAGTAGGTAAATGCTATGCTTGCCTCCTCTTATGACCACATCAAAATTACAACTAAACTACAGAACAACCATCATTGAGAAATGCCTGAAATCTAGCTGAACAAAAGTCCAATAACTAAAGACATACAGAAGAAGCCACCTCTAGACTGGTAGGAGGGGCAGAGATGAAGAGTGGGCTGGTCCCATACCCGCACATGGCAGTTGAGAATTGGGAGAGATAGCTCAACTGGAGGTTCCCCTGGGGGAGTAAGGGGTCCCAGCACCACAATAGGCTCCTCAGTCCTGGGTTCCAGACCCAGAAAGAGAAGTCCCCACAATTTCTGACTGTGAAAAACAGTGAAGATTATGGCTGAGTGAGATAGAGGGCTGCAGGAGTCACAGGGGTCTATTTTAAAGGGTCCATGCATGGACTTACTTGCTTATAGACTCACTCACTCTGGGCTCCAGTGCTGGGGCAGCAACTCAAAAGGCCCCAAGGACGTACAGGGAAGAACTGAAATGTCAGGCTGGAGGGGCAGCTTTCTCCCAGACAGAAGTGCTGGCAGAGCCATTGTTCCTTTGTTGAGCCCTCTCTCCTCCAACAGGTAGACACAAGCGGCCCCTATATCTGAGTCTCCATCAACTTGGCTAATACTGGTCACCCTGCCATGGTGATTCTGAGATGCCACCCCACTCAACATGTGGGCCCACCCAAGCTGTTTCCAGTGGATTTTCCATATGAACGGCATGTCTTGGCTCATGTTCAGACTTTCCTAAAATCAGTCAAAGGTTTACAAACCCTAATCAAGCAGCTTACGGCCTTAGTGTGCCCCATACCTCATGCTCAGCAGCCCCAAGCCTGGCACTAGCAGTAGCCGGCTTTGGTTCACAGCTTGGCCTCTTGATGTACCTAAAAACTGTGTGCAGGTGGCAACCATCTCCGGATTGCTTTGTGGCTCATGCCACGTGGCCCCATGCCAGGCACAAGCTGTAGTCAAACTTAACCTGTGATGGGGCCCCTCCCAGGAGGAACTGGGGCTCCCATACCCGGTAGCCAGCTTGCTGGAGGACCACCTGGGGCCACATCCCAGGACAACACACCCAAAAGACAGACTGAGCAGGCACCAGAGCTCTGCTAAAGTGAATCCTGCTCTGTAGTGTCAGCCCCTGCACAACAGCTCCACTGTAGTCACAGACAGTCCTCACAACCAAAGAGCCTGAGAGTCAATCTCTCCCATTGACATGCAAACAGCAACTGGGGTTCAACTACAGCAGGAAGACACATACAACCAATACAAGGAACACACCTGGAGCACCCGGCTCAGGTGACCAGGGAAAGTACACCACTGAGACCCACAGGACACCCACTACATAAGGCCACTCTACTAAGACTGGGAGACAGAGCAGCCCTACTTAATACATAGAAACAAACACAGGGAGGAAGCCAAAGTGGGGAGACAAGGAAACAGGTCCCAAATGAAAGATCAGAACAAAGCTCCAGAAAAAGAACTCAACAGAATGAAGACAAGCAATCTACTAAGTGCAGAGTTCAAAATACTGGTTATAAGGATGCTCAAAGAACTTAGAAGAGTAGATGAACTCAGTGAGAACTTTAACAAAGAGATAGAAGACATAAAAGGGGAGATAGAAAACATAAAAAGAACAAGTCAGAAATGAAGAATACAATAACTGAAATGAAGAATGCATTAGAGGGAATCAACAGTAGATTTGGTGAAGCAGAGGATCAAAGTGGTGATTTAGAAGGTAAGGTAGCAGAAAACACCCAATCAGAACAGTAACAAGAAAAAAGAATCCAAAAAATGAGGATAGTTTAAGGAGTCTCTGGGACAACATCAAACATACCAACATTTCCATCATTGGGGTACCAGAAGGGAAATATAGAACAAAGAATTGAAACCTATTTGAAGAAATAATGATGGAAAACTTCCCTAACCTGGTGAAGGAAATAGACACACAAGCCCAAGAAGTGCAGAGAGTCCCAAACAAGATGAACCAAAAGAGGTCCACACCAAGACATATCGTAATTAAAATGCCAAAGGGTAAAGACAGAGACAATCTTAAAAGCAGCAAGAGAAAAGCTTAGGTACTTACAACAGAGCTTCCATAAGACTGTTAGCTCATTTCTCAACAGAAACTTTGCAGGCCAGAAGGTACTGGCATGAAATATTCAAAGTGATGAAAAGCAAGGACCTACAAACAAGATTAGTCTACCCAGCAAAGCTATCATTTAGAATAGAAGGACAGATAGGTGCCCAGACATGAAAAAGCAAAAGGAGTTCATCACTACCAAATCAGTATTACAAAAAATGTTAAAGGACTTCTTTAAGAAGAAGAAAAGATTTTAAAAAATGAATAAAATGTCAGTAACTACATATCTATCAACAATTATTTTCAATTGAAATGGATTTAATGCTCCAACAAAAAGACATAGGATGGCTAAATGGATAAGAAAATAAGACCCTTACATGTGCTGCCTATAAGAGACTCATTTCAGATCAAAAGACACACACAGACTGAAAGTAAAGGGATGAAAAAAGATATTTTATGAAAATGGAAACAAACGAACAAAAAATCTGGGGTATCAATACATATACCAGACAAAATAGACTTTAAAACAAAGGCTACAACAAGAGACAAAGAAGGACCCAGCTATCCCACTTCGGGGTATTTATCTGAAGAAACCCAAAACACTACTTCAAAGGGACGTGTGTATCCATGTTCATTGCAGCATTATTTACAACAGTCAAGATACTGAGGCAACCTGGGCATCCATCATAGATGAGGATAAAGAAGAGGTGTTACATATATACAATGAATATTACTCAGCCAGAAAAAAAGAATAAAATCTTACCATCTGCAACAATATGGATGGACCTGGATAGTATTGTGCTGAGTGGAGTAAGTCAGACAGAGAAAGACAAATGCCATATGATTTCACTTATATGTGGAATCTAAGGAATAAAATAAACAAAAACTCATAGATGCATAGAACATTTTGAGGGTTGCCAGATGGGAGGGGGTTGAGAGAGTAGGTGAAAAAGAGGAAGGGATTAAATACAAATTGGTAGTTACAAAATAGTCACAGGAATGTAAAGTATAGCATAAGGAATACAGTCGATAATATTGTAATAACTATGTATGGTATCAGATGAGTACTAGATTTATTGGGGTAATCACTTCATAAGTTACATAAATGTCCAATCACTATATTGTACACCTAAAACTAATATAATATTGTTTGCCAACTGTAATTGAAAAATAAAAAATTATTAAAAAAAGAAACCATTAACTTGCACATCCATTGAATCCCTAGACTAAATTCCCAGTGTCGTTAGAAACTTATGATACTGATTGTAAAAGAGGGAGTTGGGGGATGAGTTAGAATGGTAATATGTGGGAGGATGTGGGAGAATGTGAGAACTTTAAACTTTTAATTCCCATTGAGCTTCCTGAAGAGACTGTATCTGCCTTAATTAAAAGACCCCACGGTGACCTCAACTGAGAGTGATATTTTCTAAGGGAAGCCAATTTTCATGGCCCCAACCTCTACCCTTCTATCTCCAGACTTATAACTGCCTTGTGTACCAAATACTTTATGTACTTTACAAACATTAATTCATTTAATTCTCCCAACAACCCAATGAGATAGTTGCTATCATTATTATCCTCATTTTACAGATGAGGAATTGAGGCATGGAGATATTAAGTGCCTTCCCCAAGGCAACATAGTTAGTAGGTGGTAGTGATGGTATTTGAACCCAGGAGAACCTATGCTCTTAATCACTACACTATCTTCCACATCCCCTACCACCCCAAGTGATCTGGTGTCCCCTGATTAGAGCTTTGAATACATGGAGGAAGTGACTGAATGGTGCTATTTCCAGGCATTGGAAAAATGAAAAATGTCAGGCATCAGAGATTTCTTGCACTGTTTATAGGTACCATCTTTTATTAAATACACAGAAGAAAGGAAAATAAAATCTCTATCTCTGGGAAGCTGAGTCATGAAGTCATTCTCTTTGTGTTAGGTTTCGCATGCATATTACACCCCTTGAGCCATTCGGATAAATCATGGCCATAACAATGCTGGGTCCAAGAATCCC